ATAGGTTATTGCAGATACAGTATTGAAAACTCACGAATCGGGTTTCCTCACGGCCCCGGCCCGACGCTTGAGGCTGCAAATGACCAGGAGGTCCGTGAAGAGAAACACCGCCCTTTCCTTCTTGGTGCCCAGACTGCCGGGCATGGTTGCCAGGTCGTAGCGGAGGAACGCCCTGGGCAGCACGGCCGGGTCAGCACCACCACCACCACTGCCGCCACCACCACTGCCGCCACTACCGCCGCCGCCGCCAGCCGTCGGCGGCTGGTGTGGCGGTGCAGCCGGCAGCAGATGCAGGCCGTCCACCATGCTCTGCAGCGAGGACAGGGCCTGGTCCCGCCGCTCCTGCTCGCGGGCCTCCTTCTCCATGTGGTTGATCTTGAGGGCCAGGCTGTGCACCTCGCGCTGGGCCGCCACCAGGTCCATGTGGTCCGGGTGGCCCGGGTCCGTGTGCTTCAGCAGCATCTGGGCGGGGGGTCATTAAGTCATCGTCAGTCAAACAGTCGGGATGAGAAGCAGGATGAGCAAAAGGCGGAGCTCATTTCTCGAATCCAGTCGAACCCCATTAGAAAAGCCACAGCTTTTATCCCGCGGCAGAGTTGGGATATTTCTGGGGAAGGGGGCTGGTGCATTTTAGTTTGACGTACCAAAGGTCAATGAAATGCCTCTGGGTTGGGATGGGAATGCCCAAGACAGGAAAAATAAGAGGAACGAATATCCTATTGCTTAAAGGAATCCCCGATGTTAATCCTGTGCCATAGGACGGCAGGGAAAAACGCCACCCGTGAAAGATTTTTATTTTATTTTATCATCACGCAACATTTTCTGCAGGATTCGAAAAAAAAATAAATGTGGGACTCATCCCAAACTTAGGCCTTGGTTCAAAAATACAATTTTTCGATATGCAGTGCTCATGGGCAAAACATTTTGCGAACGTATCGTTAATTTGCGTCGTAAGGGTTAATAATAAGACACCCCCAATAACCCATCTTTTCCCTTTGACAACTGCCAATTTACTATGAAAAACGAATCTAGTCCCAATGAAAAAGTATTGGAACCCCTGACAAAACGCCATCAGCAAAAATTATCGACGACTCCAATATATGCTCCTACCAATTAATTTTGTATTTGATATAGCCTGCTGCTAAGAAGATTCAAGTTTTTGCAAGCGGTCCCCAATAAAAATAAACACAAATACTGTAAAAATTCGACATAATTAACTTCTATAGGCATCGTTAGCTATACAGTATATAATTTTGACATATACCAGGGCTATTTTGACTATTTCTATAATAATTACAATTTTATTCCCTATGATACTTAATTTTTGTACGGTATTATTTTAGCTTTTTTTTATAAGCATATAAAACCCGTTAAACTGCCACAAACCAATAGAAAACAAATGATGGCGGCTTAACTTGAAAGTTTTCAATTATCATCATGAAGTAAATTTAAAACTTTAGTGTGGAAAAGTATGAGAGCTTTGCAGAACATTTGGCTGTGTAATAAATAAATAATTTATTATTATTTTACAATCACACCTGGTCTAGAAATACGGTGCCACAGGCCGAGTCCAACTGAGACCACCGTCTTATGTAATCAATGAAGACTTTCAAATGCATTCCCCTAAAATCATACATTCCTCATTTTTTTCTACGACTTCTCTCCCCGTGTTGCTTCCTCGAAAATGAAGGGAATACGAAATGCCTCATTCCTCCACACGCGACACACAGACGACACTGTCACAGCTAATCTCAATCCTCAATTCGAGTCTTCCGGGAAGTCCACAGAATAAAAATAAATAAGAAATCCCTCCGATGCTCGTCACTCCATCTTACATTCCCCGTCTGTCACGCGAGGTCGTCGACATGCCACAGAATATTTCGGGTCGAGAGAAGAAAAAAAAAAAAGAGAGAGAACTGGTCGGAAACCGCAGTTTGACACACACGGAATGAATTTCTCACCATCACGGGGAAAGAAGATCGGTAATGGAATTTCAAATCCCCCTCAAGCAAAGCGTATGCGTGACTGTCGCTGTGAGAGAGAACTGGTCGGAAACCGCAGTTTGACACACACGGAATGAATTTCTCACCATCACGGGGAAAGAAGATCGGTAATGGAATTTCAAATCCCCCTCAAGAAAAGCGTATGCGTGACTGTCGCTGCTGCCATCGAGTCAGCCCTTTTCATCGACGTCACGAAATCGAATGAGCGATCATTACATTATTCAATTCGATACTAGAAAGAATGATAATAAAACTAGACGATCGAGACGAGACGCGGACTTTATAAATCCCCTATTCATCAGATAAAAAAACAAAAACTGCGGCCCTGTCAAAAACGCTTCTCGCGTCCGCTATTTCCAGCTGCTGACAATAAGGAGAAAAATCATTTTCCTATACACTCGAGGCACACACAAAAAAGAAACAAAATATATAGGGGAAAAGCGTACAATCAAGTGCCAAGAGACACAGCTGAAATGCAAGAGAGAGAAAAAAAAAGCCGGGTTCCTGAAGAAAAACAAAAACAACCCCTCCGAGCTTGGCAGGCTGAAATCCGGGGACCCTTGCGAGATAAGCAGGCCTTGGAGAAAATTGACTGAACCCCGGGCCGGTATGTATGAGTATCGGGCCAGATCGACGCTGAACAATAACCCAGAGGCGTCCCAGTGAGACACGCGATTATGCCTTGCGCCTCATCGTCACTGTCGCTGTCGCTGTCGCCGTCGCCGTCGTTAGCCCCCCAAGGCCATCTCGGCTCTGTCGTCGTTGCTATATACGAAACCCCCCCCCAGCAGCAGGTGCACATATAGTGCAATTTTTTGTCTGCCTGTTTGATTTCACGGCAGAAAGTAGTAGGACTCGTCTGTGTCAAAGACAAGTAGGGTTTCTATTCGGGTTACTATATCTTAACACCCGTATTTCATGACGACATGCACCGTTTTACCCTTTCATTGCTGCATGTTTTCAAAAGTGAAACACCTCTTTTTACTCCAAAAATGTTTAAAACTACCCAACCCTGAATTCATATACTGTACAGTGAAATCTCGTTACAACAAAGCCACGGAGACCATCAGCAGTGAAGTAGTTTCGCTGTACTGAAAAATTCGTTTCAAAGTAACTCATTTAACATTGAGGCTATTGAGCAGGGCTCTGAAAATGAATTTGTCGTAAGCGAATATTCGTTGTAACAGCTAGATTTTACTGTACTTGAAATTGCATTTTTTCATAGCAAGATCAAATAAAATCAAACGGCAACAGTCCTCACATTTATTTTCCTTTGAAGTCTTGGAGGATATCCAGTGGAAAGTACGAAAAAAAAGTGAGGTCTTCTGCACCGAAAGATATCACGAATTTTTTTCGCATGAAATTTTGTAAGAAACTGCGTCCGAACAATTTTCTGACAAAGAGTCAAAAGTTCTTATTACATTTCACAAATTTCAAGATGAAAATAAGATGCCGTGCGATTAAAAACTGCGAATAGGGGCTATTTTTGATACATTTTCTTTGTGAAATGCTTCCTTGAATTTGACTTTCTTTGGTCAAATTCCGATTCCTATATATTTTCAGAGAAGCAATCGTGTTCAATCCAACGCTGATTATTTGAATGAAATACATTTTCAAATCGATACATAATCAAATTATGCGGCAAATTTAAAGTTTTGAAGATTTCAGAACATACAGATTTGTTGCGACTAAAAAATTGTAAAAATTGCGTCTCATGAAGCACACTCCTCTGATATTTTCCCTTTTTGATGGGAACGTCTTATTCTGAAGAAAAAAAAATAAGAAGAGGGAAATGAAATATTCTTGAAAATGGACGAGGCATTNCCCCCCCCCCCAGCAGCAGGTGCACATATAGTGCAATAAAAACAGACGGACAAACTAAAGTGCCGTCTTTCATCATCCTGAGCAGACACAGTTTCTGTTCATCCCAAAGATAAGCCCAATGATATAGAATTGTGGGCATAAAGTACTGCTGTACGTGGCAAAATTCCATTTCAACCTACTTTCAAGTCTCTGTTTATTGCTGCATGTTTTCAAAAGTGAAACACCTCTTTTTACTCCAAAAATGTTTAAAACTACCCAACCCTGAATTCATATACTGTACAGTGAAATCTCGTTACAACAAAGCCACGGAGACCATCAGCAGTGAAGTAGTTTCGCTGTACTGAAAAATTCGTTTCAAAGTAACTTATTTAACATTGAGGCTATTGAGCAGGTCTCTGAAAATGAATTTGTCGTAAGCGAATATTCGTTGTAACAGCTAGATTTTACTGTACTTGAAATTGCATTTTTTCATAGCAAGATCAAATAAAATCAAACGGCAACAGTCCTCACATTTATTTTCCTTTGAAGTCTTATGGAGGATATCCAGTGGAAAGTACGAAAAAAAGTGAGGTCTTCTGCACCGAGAGATATCACGAATTTTTTTTCGCATGAATTTTTGTAAGAAACTGCGTCCGAACAATTTTATGACAAAGATTCAAAAGTTATTATTACACATCATACATTTCAAGATGAAAATAAGCTGCCGTGCGATTAAAAACTGCAAATAGGGGCTATATATGATACATTTTCTTTGCGAAATGCTTCCTTGAATTTGACTTTTTGTTGTCAAATTCCGATTCCTGTATATTTTCAGAGAAGCAATCGTGTTCAATCCAAAGCTGATTCTTCGGATGAAATACATTTTCAAACGAATACATAATTAAATTATCAGGCAAATTTAAAGTTTTGAAGATTTATTCAGAACATATACAAACAGATTTGATGCGACTAAAAAACTGAAAAAATTGCTTCTCATGAAGCACTCCTCTGATATTTTCCCTTTTTGATGGGAACGTCTTATTCTGAAGAAAAAAAAATAAGAAGAGGGAAATGAAATATTCTTGAAAATGGACGAGGCATTGACCCGCAGATGCTTTCAGGGATCATCGAACAAACAATGATTGCCACTGGGAAAAAGGGCAATTTTTCCACGTTTTCTCCAGTTTTCTATATGGAGGACATGTGGATGGAGATCTGGAGATCGAGACAGCTGCCATGGAGCCCCAGGGATCCCGAGTCGTCCTCTTCCAGCACAGGGTTTTATTTATTTATTTTTTTCGTAGGTTCGGAGGGATCTTTCATCATGCATCCCTGCCCTGGGGTCACCCGGAACCAATAAACTTCCACCCTTCCGCAAGCCTTTTTCGACCATGGTTTACTGCGCGTAACCCGCAAACATTTTTCCTTATTCAAGATAGGCTGAAGCCTTGGAGACAATAATTTTGATCGCAGAAAAAATAAATCTCTTCTTCAACCCAAATTTCCAACCAGAAATCACTCTGTTCGAACGGGGTAAAATGGACGATACAAATTATTTCCTGATCAAAATGTTCCTCATAGAGGCGGTGCATGTAATTTTTTTCTAATTTTCACGGTTTTAAGCAAGAAAGCTTTAGAAAATGTGAACCATCATCAACGATTTGTGATTTATTCGGGCTGTATAGAGTCTACGCGAAATGTCCCGATCATTCAATCATTAATATGAAATCATGGCAAAGTTTGAGGCGCACTTCTTCAATATATTCAAGTCTACCAGTTTTTTTTTCTCCACAAACTGAAAGGATTTGTGCAGTTTCGCATTCATTTTTAACATTTTTTTGGAACCTGATACTGAATTTCGAAGAACAGTAGAATTCAATTTATATTAGACCGCAATAAAATTTTCAGACATTGAAGAAAAAAAAAAGAGTCGGCCATGGAAAAGTCTGAAAATTTTGGAGGAAAAACGTGGCTATTACGCACATTCAAGAATTGATTTAGCTTGTGGATGTTGACACGTCTGAAGTTTTTGCGGCAATAAAATAATCGTCTTAAAAACATATAATTAGATTGANTCGAGACAGCTGCCATGGAGCCCCAGGGATCCCGAGTCGTCCTCTTCCAGCACAGGGTTTTATTTATTTATTTATTTTTTTTCGTAGGTTCGGAGGGATCTTTCATCATGCATCCCTGCCCTGGGGTCACCCGGAACCAATAAACTTCCACCCTTCCGCAAGCCTTTTTCGACCATGGTTTACTGCGCGTAACCCGCAAACATTTTTCCTTATTTAAGATAGACTGAAGCCTTGGAGACAATAATTTTGATCGCAGAAAAAATAAATCTCTTCTTCAACCCAAATTTCCAACCAGAAATCACTCTGTTCGAACGGGGTAAAATGGACGATACAAATTTTTTTTCTGATCAAAATGTTCCTCATAGAGGCGGTGCATGTAATGCTTTTCTAATTTTCACGGTTTTAAGCAAGAAAGCTTTAGAAAATGTGAACCATCATCAACGATTTGTGATTTATTCGGGCTGTATAGAGTCTACGCCAAATGTCCCGATCATTCAATCATTAATATGAAATCATGGCAAAGTTTGAGGCGCACTTCTTCAATATATTCAAGTCTACCATTTTTTTTTCTCCACAAACTGAAAGGATTTCTGCAGTTTCCCAGTCATTTTTTATATTCGTTTGAAACCTGATACTGAATTTCGAAGACCAGCAGAGTTCAAGTTATAATAGGCCACAAGAAGACATTACAGAAGAAAAAATAAACGGAGTCGTCGATGGAAAAGTTTGAAAATTTTG